GGCTCACACTGGGGCCAGGAGCAGCCCAGACTGCGCAGAGGGGGGCCGGGGCCTGGCCCCCTCCCCGTCTCCTAAACTAGCCAGACGGACTCTCAAACTCAACAGCCAGCCCCGCCTCTGGCCCTTGTCCAGCTTCCCAGGCAAAAGGGGTCACCTGGTCCCTGTCCCTGTCCCCCACCCAGGTTCAGTTACAGAACGCATCAGCCCAAATTTCCACCCCCATCTCACGGTGCAGTGGCCAGGGAAACTGAGGCACGCACACAGGGTGACTACAGGACAATAAAACCCACATGCAGCGTATGGGGTTAAAAACGACCCCCCCATCACGGGGGGTTTAATGCCTCCCCCACTTTGCACCGCCCTCTGGGGAGCTGCGTGTGCAGTAGCTGCAGCCAAGGAACGGTGTCTTCACTAGCTCCGCGTGCCGGCTGGCAGGGCAGTAACTTCCCGTCTGCCTTGGAGCTTTGGCCCTGGTCCTGAGACGGGTTTGAATGCTAAATCCCTGCTCTCCCTAGAGGATCCAGCACTTAGCCCGACTCCCCAGGCACCAGCCCTCACATGGTAAGTCCCAGGGGCGCCGCTGGGTAGGAGGGTGCTAACCTGAACGCTGGCTTTGGTTTCTCATATAGACTCTAAGGTCAGAAGGGACCATTATGATCATCTAGTCTGACCCCCTGCACGATGCAGGCCACAGAATCTCACCCACCCTCTCCTAGGTTTCTGCTGATCCCAGGCCAAAGGGCTGCTCTTGGCTTCCCCTGGAATTTAATGGGACAACGCCCCTAGCAAGCCAAGACGGTGGCCCCACATGCATGTAACTGCACAGCTGCAAGGGCCCAGACACCATGGCGAGGAGGAAGGAGGTGTGCGGGATTATCCACTCCAGGAGGAAATGGCTCTTTTCAGAGGCAAGAAAAGAAGTGTTCAGAGCATCTTGCTGGACCCAATTCTGGGGCACAGGCCTGGGTCGTAGTGCAAGGGAAAGAAAAACACCCACCCTCGGCCGGGAAAGGCCAGAAACAAACTGAAAATACCTCGCACCCCTCGGGTGGCGGCTTTCCTGTTACTGTCACCCCTGTTCATGTGCCACACTCCACTAAACAGCCCAGAGGGAAACCGAGGGCCAGTGAACTTCCTGTTTTCTGCTTCCTCTTAGCTCTCAGGCAAAGGAACGGGGGCTGAACACGCTCGGCCCCTTGTAGTTACTGGCCCCACACCAGGCTCAACCCAGCATCAGACACGTGAGCCCCTGCAATCAAGTGACCGGTGAGAGTCGTGTAAAGGACCCTTCAGCAGAGCAAACGTACAAGCACTTCCGTAAGGCTGACAAAGCTCCCCTCAGCCACTGTTCACCCTGAGATAGAATAGATTTATTAGCAAGAGGTAATCAGGAAACATAGATTTTTACAAAAATGGAAATATTTTTCCAAACAAGCTGTAAGTTGAAATAGTTTAGGGCTTGAAATAGAATTCTCATACCACTAGGTATTGCTTACAGCAAAAGTTTTCCGTTTGTTACAGTGGAGCATGCCTGCCACTTTAAAGTTAAACTGTGTTTATATACTGTACAATGTAAAAAATACATGGTAATATTCACAGAATAAGCACTACATTACTATATTCCTGCTAGAAGGTGGTTAGCCAGGATTACAGTATATGTAATAAAAACACTTGGTCATTTTTTCCTAATTCTACAGTGTGTTACTAATCATTGTCACAAGGGATACAGGGTTATCGCATGTCCACAGAAGCGTGTAATGAGTATTATGCAGCTAAAAGATTAAAAGATAGATTGTCTCTCCCCTACTTGTAATGAACCCTGGGCAGCAACCAACAAGACAGACAGGCTGTCATTGACACGGGTCTCTCCCCCACCCTGACAACGCCTCCGCTGACTCAGCTCTTCCAGCTGGGGTGACCAGAACAACCAATGAACCAGTGGGATGAAAACAGCGCCAGTGAATGGAGGTGGGATGGACTGGAGCTTAGCTAGTCTGCTGTCTCAGGTTGGCGCCGTAATATCCCCGTTTGGATCCCCTGCTTGACCAACGACTGTTGTTTTCAGACTGCTGTACAGTCCAGGTGAGCTGCTAGGAATCGCTTGACTCCTAATTTGGGGGGCTAATTTGGCTACGACAAATCAGGAAAGAGATCTTGGAGTTATCGTGGACAGTTCTCTGAAAACTTCCACATAGTGTGCAGCGGCGGTCAAAAAGGCAAATAGGATGCTAGGAATTATTAGGAAAGGGATAGAAAATAAGACCCAGAATAGCTTACTGCCCCTGTATAAAACTATGGTACGCCCACATCTTGAATACTGTGTTCAGATGTGGTCTCCTCACCTCAAAAGAGATATTTTGGCCTTGGAAAGGGTTCAGAAAAGGGCAACTAAAATGATTAGGGGTTTGGAACGGGTCCCATATGAGGAGAGGTTAAAGCGACTGGGACTTTTCAGTTTAGAAAAGAGGAGACTGAGGGGGGATAGGATAGAGGTCTATAAAATCATGAGTGGTGTGGAGAGGGCCGATAAAGAAAAGTTATTTATTAGTTCCCTAAATAGAAGAACTAGAGGACACCAATTGAAATTAATGGGGAGCAGGTTTAAAACTAATAAAAGAAAGTTCTTCTCCACACAGCGTGTAGTCAACCTGTGGAACTCCTTGCCAGAGGAGGCTGTGAAGGCTAGGACTATAATAGAGTTTAAAGAGAAGCTGGATAAATTCATGGAGGTTAGGTCCATAAAAGGCTATTAGCCAGGGGATAAAATGGTGTCCTTGGCCTCTGTGTGTCAGAGGCTGGAGAGGGATGGCAGGAGACAAATCGCTTGATCATTGTCTTCGGTCCACCCTCTCTGGGGCACCTGGTGCTGGCCACTGTCGGCAGACAGGCTACTGGGCTAGATGGACCTTTGGTCTGACCCAGTACGGCCGTTCTTATGTTCTTATGACTCCAAAGTGAGTGTGGTCCAGTGACAATCATGCCGTGACCATGCTGGTGAGTGCCCTGGCAGTGCGTCCGACACAGCGGCTGTGTCTAGGGCGGGAGGGAAAGGTGACTAGCTCTCTGCCTGTGATGCGTTGTGTATTTGCTCTGGTGTTCTCCTGCTACCCCCGCTCTCCCCACCCCCGAGAGGAACAAATGACAAAAATAACAGCGTTTCAAATAAAGCGGGACGGCTAGAAACAAAACGCTTTATGCAGGACGCCTTAACCAATGCAGGACGTTGTAGCCGAGTTCTACTGTGTGTGAAGAGCAAGAGGACGTTTTGTTTTCATTGAGAAGCACAAGCGAGAAGTCACTCTAGGGAGCCCAACAGAAACAAACCGATATGTACAATATGATATAGGCTGTGTACAGGCGAGCCGCTGACCCCGCCGCGCGTTCAGGTGGGCAGCTTAGGTTCTATTCGTAGAGAAGACTCGTAAAGACTTTCTTCGTCCATCACAAAGGACTGGTCCAGCAAATACTGTGTCACCTGGAAAAGAAATGGAACTTGCTGAGTCGCGTCATTGTTCATTAGCTGCTTCCCAGCGAGGTGACTGGATGACAGAACCCCCCACGGAGCGCCAAGCCCTAGCAGTGTTCCACGCCGAAGAAATCAAACTCCCCTGCCCGGCAAACACACAACACGCTCCACGGGGGGGTGCGCACAGGCGCAGTGCCTGCTGTCCTGACGGCAACCACGGGCCCCCTGAGGGACGTGTGTCCGGCCCCGGGCTGCCCAGCTGCTTTCTCACGCTGCGCGAGGGGACTGAAAAGGGGAACCAGCCAACGAGGGGGAGCAGGAGCAGAGAGCCCCTGACCACACAGCTCTCGGGGGAGTTTTACAGTCACACCTGCTCGAGGTAGAAGCACCGTGTAACGGGCTGAGGGGCTGGGGAGGGAGAGGCGAACCCCTCAGAAATGGGGCAGGGAAGGCTCCCCAAGCGGCAGCCATGCTCTCTTGCGGCGTTGCTGTGTGCTGGGCCAGAGGGGCGGCGTGGGGGTGCCCGAGGCCAGGAGAGCCCGTCGGCAGACCCAGCTGGGGATGGAAGCTGCTCTAGAAATGCAGAACACCTTGTCCCACATCTTTCTGAATGGCCTGGAGGAGGGGATGGATTGCACCCTCAGCAAGTTCCCAGATGACACTAAGGTGGGGGAGGGGTAGATACGCTGGGGGGCAGGGAAGGGTCCAGAGTGACCTGGACAGATCAGAGGATTAGGCCACAAGAAATGTGATGACAAGTGCCGAGTCCTGCCCATGGGACGGCAGAATCCCAGGCATTGCTACAGGCTGGGGCCGACGGGCCAAGCAGCAGTTCTGCAGGAAAGGCCCTGGGGGTTACAGTGGGTGAGAAGCTGGAGATGAGTCACTAGGGAGCCCTGGTAGCCAAGAGGGCTAATGGCACATTAGGGGGCATTAGGAGGAGCATGGCCAGCAGACCCAGAGATGTCATCATTCCCCTTTATTCGGCTCTGGGGAGGCCGCATCTGGAGTACTGTGTCCCCCCACTACAGAAAGGATGTGGACGCATCGGAGAGGGCCCAGCAGAGGGCAACCAGAATGATGAGGGGGCTGGAGCGCGCGACCCAGCTGAGCAGTTCTAGCCAACACTCGGGGCAGAGAGGAGGAATCTATCTCGTCTCCCACAGCCATTCCAGCTGCACTGCCCCGCCACTGTGGGGAACCATCCGAAACAGATCCAGTTCTTTCCTTCTCTGTGACGCGCGTTTAGCAGCACCCTGCCGGTTCCGGAGGGGCCGCCGGGCGGGACAGCGAGTGGGAGACCAGGGGAAGGCTGTACCTTGGCTTGGTGTTCGATCTTGTAGGACGTTTGCTGAAACTGGCGGATCTCTCTAATGATGTGGGAAATCTGTCCAGAAACAAACCAGTGTCACGCCTGCGAGTGCCGCGGCTCCCGATACTGCCCTGCTCCAAACACTCCTGCTACCTCCCAGAGCCAAAGGGGGGGATCGTTTGACATATTCATGGAACTTTAAAGCACAACGTTATTTGGCCATCAATGAAAAAGCCTCTTTGTTCCCTGCACGGATATTAGTTCCTTTCCTCTGCCAGGAGTCCAGACGCAGCGGGGCGGTCCGTCAGCAATGACTCCGGTGATGGGAGCCTGTGATGTGGAGCAGAAGGTCCTGGGTTCAAACCCCCATGGCGGTGGGTCAGGACCTTTGCCTCGAAGGAAGAGCTTGTTGAGTCTGTCAGTGGGTTTTACTCAGCTCCCATAGCGCCAGGTATTTGTGGGGCGGTAAGAAACTCCCAGACCACATAGGGGCTAACTGGGAACAGAGGGCCACATCGCCACCTGCTGTAAATCAGCATGGTCCCATTGACGTTAGTGGCACTGGGCTGTTTTCTACCCACTGAGAATGAGGCTCTGGGCAAATAGTATCTCTAGAGACACAGCTCCGTGGCGTCCTGCCCCCACTAGCCGGCGCCAGGGGGAGTCACGCGGGCTGTGGCCATGCAGGCTCCCACGCTGGGGCTCAGCGCTTGGGGCAATTGGCAGGAGGCTCTCTCCACTCACAGGCCTCCACTCGACTGGTCCTGGATTGAACCAAACTCTCCTTTCCTGCACCCCCCAGGGACGCCGCCTTGACCCCAGTGCGGGTCTCTAACAAAGCCAAACCTGGCCTGTCTCACGTCTGTGCCCGTAGCACGCAGGCAAGGCCAGGGCAGCACTGAGAGGCAGGAATGTTTTGCACAATAATGCAGATTAAGCGGCACCGCGAGACCACGTTGAGAACACCCGATTCACCTTGCACTGGGCCTTCTGTTTCTGATCAGCACAAATTCCACATACAGCCACAGAACTGTTAAACTCGCACGTAGTTTCTGCAACATCCCGAGTAGCAGGATGTCCCCCAACGGCACGGGGCACGGTAGGGTCTGACACAGTCCTTAACTAATCAGTAAATACTAGAGCGGCCGAGTCTCGCTTTGCTCTAAAATGGGCTTAGTAAGAAGAATTGATGGGAGGGAGGAAGCAGGACCGAGGTCACAGGTCCTGCTCATTGTAACTGGAAGGAATAGACCCTTCACACCAGCGACCCAGTGCGTGGCATCCTGATGGGTGGGAGTCAAAGGGACCCTGCCCGCCTGCCTGGTGCTGTAGGGAGCATACAGGTGACGTGTAAGTGAACAAGGCTTAATCATTGTCATTATTGCTTTTGCATTGTTCCGTGCTGTTCTAATTGCTTTAGAATGGATAGGATTTCAGGGTTAAATTGTAGAGTAATTCTAAGGCTTGTAAAACTTCACCAATTATATGAACTGCTTAAAGCTGGCCATAAATAAGAAAGTGGTTAAGTCTCTCTGCAGTGCCCTGGTTCCCCTTGGATCTAAAATAAATCGAACCACATGACAGATGCTCACCATTCTCATTTTGGAGAAGTTCACCAAGCCGTCCTCGGTGTAATTTGGAGTTCCCTCCTCTATGAAGGCCAGGTCGGTCAGATACATCCCCAGGTAAGGAACGCAGGGCGGGTCGCAACTTCAAAGCAAGTCAGACAGAAAGGAAAAAGGCAGTCACACGTTCTGTTCTTTAAAGGCCGGCTAGGAAAACCTTTTCCTCTGTTTGGAGAAAATCCAGCTCTCCCTGGAAAGCAAGAAGGTGGCAAGTCCCCCAGGCCTTTCCTGCCATGCCCAGGGCCCGTTTTCACGACTGGCCCCCCGGAATCTGAAGCTGAACGGCATTCTGGACGGGCCCTACTAAACAAAACTCCTTTTGTAGGGAGCAGAAAGAGGCAGGTGCAGAGTCCCCCCTCCCCGGAGGAACCTGCCTGAGTCCGCGAGGTTTGGCAGAAGGCCCGGAAGATCTCGCACAACTCCTTTTCTCGTCATTTCAGTGTTTAAATGCTCGCCCCCTCCGGCACCTCGCCCCTCAGCAGCACAGAGGGCAGAGCTCAGAGGTTCTGAGAGGAGGGGGGGTTTCCATCTGATGAAACTAGCTAACGAGACAGGAAGTATCACCAGGGCACGCCCACCTCTTGGGAGGGTGCATGCAGGTTTGGCTGCCCCATCTCAAAAAGGATCTCTCGGAATTGGACAAGGGTCGGGAAAGGGCAACCGAATGGAGGGGCGTGCAACGGGTGGAGGAGCGATCCGGAACACTGGCACGTCCCAGCTTGGAAAGGAGCTGACGAAGGGTGAACACCATAGAGGTCTCGCAAATCATGACTGGCGCGGAGAAAGTACATAAGGAAGCATTTACTCCTCCTGGCACAAACACTAGGGCTGGAGGGCACTGCTAAATGATTCGATCGTCCTGTAAAACCAGCGCCAGGGATGGGTTTGTGGTAAGGGCCAGCAAATCCCACCAAGACACCACGGAGGAAGAGTTCGCTCGGTTCATTTATGCCACGAATTCGCCTTTCCACGCTGTTAACAAACCCCTTCCCTGGCAGGGCTGTGTCCTCACGACCAGGCTCCGCGCCCCTGGGAGAGCAGGCAGCGGTGGAAGGTTGCTAGATCCAGGGACTTGAACAGGGCGAGAGAGAGAGGGACAGCTTGCCAGGCTAAGCCCGCCGAGGCGGAGCAGTGTGCCCAACGATCATGCTGTGTGGGCCTGTGTGACCACAGACAGGGGGCAGTGTCTATTTCAGAAACAGCAGCCCCCTCGGGAAAGGCCCCCGCAGCAGGAGAGGTAAAAGAAGGGGCAGTGAAAGCCGTACGAAACGGAGCAAAACTGGGAGCGTCACAGGCGGTGCTTCGCCACGGGCAACGCTGCACGCGAGGCGGAGAGCAGACACTCGGAAGGAGAAACAGAAGGATGCCCCTTGAGCACACGGCCGCGGCGCCCACCTGCCGCGTCTTGTAGCCAAAGCCTGAAGCACGTCTTCCCCCGGGAGAAAAGAAGATGCTGCTGACGTCACACAAGGCTCCCCCAACAACCACTCACTGAAGGGAGCAGGCGGATCCCGACTCAGCGCACTGAAACCGGCCGTCCTCAGCCTTCAGCGCTCGTCAGAGAACCTGCCGCTGCGCTGCGGCCGCGGACATCTGGGAGGCTCTTCGAGAGACCCCGAGGAAGGAAACACGTCCCCCCCCCAGCGTGTGAAAGTGCCGCAGCAAAGCAGCGAATGGAGCAAACACTAACACTGCATCTCAGTGTCCTGCAGACATTCGCACCCCAACGAGAAAGGCGGGCGCCTTGTTTCGGAAGATGCTGCTGCTGCCCTGGCTTGGCACCTGCCAATCCCTCCCCTCGGCCATGCCAGCCGCTACATTTCTGGGCTGGCGATCCGCATATAGTGACTGCTGATGCCGGGAACAAAGTCACTCTCCTGAACTGGTGGGATCATTAGCCAGGCACTGGGAACAGGGTCCTTCAGCAGCAAAGCCAACTTTCCCCAGCAGCAGCTTCCTCGGCAGGCCCAGAGGGAATATGGGCCCCGCTCGGCGCTACGAAATGGACCGGGAGCTGGGAAAGCAGGACATCTCGTCCGCCCGTGTCAGTCTGACACTCGCGTGCCAGTGGCAGTGGGAAGAGGGGAAGGCTTCAGGACATTTAGTGGTCTGGGGACTTGTCCGTTAGAGTTAACAACATTTGGAACTTAAAAAAACAAACAAAAAAACCCGAGTTGAGGGCCAGCTCTGCGGGCAAGAGGAGACACCTGCAAACGTGACACGTCTCCGTGCCGCTGGGATGTTGGTTCATAAAGCAGAAGGGCTGTTTTGCGTGTGTGTGATTTAGTTCTTGCCTCTGCAGCTGGACACGGGTGCTGAGCGGTACGTGCTGTTTCCTACATTCCTAATGCTCACGCTAGCCGAGAGATACTAAGGAGACCCTCTGAGATGCTGTAAAAGGCCGAGCTGCACATTAGCATGTCTTCCTGGCCAGATTTGCATCATGTGAAGCCGTAGCAGTGGGAAACGTGGCTTAACTCAAGGATTCGAGTCACGCTGATTTCAGTCAATCGGCAGCCCCGTGTTGGCTGCCTTGGACGAGTCTGGACCTCCAGGGCCTTTCAGGAGGACACGTGTGTGGTGAGAAATCTGGGCAGGCTGCCGGCCGAAAAGGCTGCAACAGGCTTTCAGCAGCAACCTCCCCCCCCCGCCGCAGACCACTTACTTTTTTAGAGCTTCGCGGAGATTCTTGAACCTGCCCTCGGAGGCCCCCAGCCGCTGGAGCTTGTCGATCAGAGCTTTCGTCTGCAGGGACAGAGAGCGCGGCGGTGAGGGAGGGGCTGCGAACCGGTGCGGAGGTGAGAGGAGTCGGAAGCGGCTGGCACACCAGCGCCTGGCCCTTCATTTGCCATGCTCGGGGCCGTGTGCGGAGGCGCAGATCCTCCCCAAGGTCTCCCCTGGCCACTCAGGGTCTGTCTACACTACAAAGTTAATTCGAACTAACAGACGCCTAGTTCGAATTAGCTAGTTTGAATTAAGGGCTGTGTAGCCCCTTCATTCAAACTAGTGGGAGGCTAGCCCTCCCCAGCTTGCCCTGGTGGCCACTCTGGGCACCACCAGGGAAACTCTCTGCCCCCCTCCCGGGCAGTGCCGGAGCCAGGTGCAGGGAGCGGGACTGGGGCCCGGGAGGGGGACGGTAAAAGGGCACTTTAAGGGGGTGTCTGCCCTGGGCAGGCGGGGCAATTCCCAGCTGCCCACGCTGGGGCCTCGGGGTGTCAAATCTCGCTTCACGGACCAGTCGAGTGGCTCGTTCTGATCAATTAGTCGCCTAGTCGATAGTCCCCGGGGCGGGGCCGGCAGCCAGTGTGCTCTGGCCCCAGTCCTGGGGAGCCCCCTGCCACTCCGCGGACACGGCTGCCAGGCAGGAGCTGCTCCACCGGGGAGCCAGTCTAAAACCAACCCCCCTCGGGGACCTGTCGCCCTGCGCTGCTGCCTCTGATCCTGAAGCCGTAGTGCGGGGAGGTAGCAGCTCCTGTCCAGAGGGGTCTGAGCGCCCGGCCCCGGCCCGAGTCGTAACGGAGCCGGGATGCCTGCCCGCCCAGCTCCTAACACACTTGAAATGCAGAGCCATGGGGGGTAGGTCGGACCCGGTGCGAATAGCACTGAGCCAGGCTGCTAAAACATTTATGGCAAGGGGAGCGGGGACGTGTCGTGTGTAGCACTGACCTACGAGCTTCTGCTTATCGGTTAGTCGACTATGCTATTACATCCCTAAAACAGCCGCGTGCCCAGAAGGGTGGCTGAGGCAAGTCACCCGAGCACCCGCCCTGCGCACGGCCAACACGCGCCCCTGCCCCCCTGCCCCT